CTTTTATGCACTCCATATATCCTGACGGATGTTTAGGTTTCAATCATCTGTAAATGATCATCTTGTTTTGCCCTAAACCCCATACTTCCTTCTTGTTCAATTTCGAATAAGTTTCATCGTGATCATCACGCGTCTCCCTAATTTGTTACACTTATTATTCAATTATGACTAAGCTTAAGATGATTTTTGAACAGCTGCTCATCTCCAAGCTCTTCCGGACTTTTACACATTCACTCATAGTCACATAGTCAGACCATAGACAGCCAAAAGACAATGATTCGGGAAATGTTTCTCCGCTTTACTATTTTTTTCAAAACTTACATAACTTTTTCTTTTCTATCCTACTTCTATTCGAAAAAAGCTTTATGTTCCTTCAATCTTGATCTATTTGATTTTATTCCCGAGAATCTGCGAAATGGTGAAGGTTGCACTGAGCGGAGTTTCTCATACCTCTAAAACACGGAAGAAACAGAAATATTCATTTCTAATCCTATTAAGGTAGAAAAACAAAAGAAAAAAATGTTGAATGAGAGATCACATTTCGTTTAATCTAGAAATTCTTCTCAAGAACACTCTTTCTTTTCTTTTTTCTTCTTTTGGACGTTGAACTTTTGTGTTTCAATCTATATGATGCCAGACTAATCTGGGCACAAATCGAATTTCGAAAATCATTCAATCCAGATTGATGATGAGTTCATTCGTTCGTCTGATCAGCTGTTCTGCTTTTTATCAGTAAAGGTTAGAGAAGAGAAACGGCTAAACCAATTGTGATCTATGTGTTAATCTTCTGATTCTGGTAGATTTAAACTATTTTTTCTCTGAAAAGATTTGCTATCTTTTCGCGTATATGCTTACACTGTTCTCAACCATTTCCACATACAGTAGTTGACTTCATATGAATTTAAACAAATTTCGTTCATATCGTAATATTCATATCTATACCGCGCAGTTTTAAGAAGACTTCTTCGTTTCCTTTTATTTGTTTCATATTCTGTTCGCGCCATGTTAATCTTCGTTTCAACGAACTTTTCTTCTGACACAAAAAATGTTTTGATAAGAAAAGCATGATGAATTGGATGATGCTTGGCCTCAATAATTTGTTTGTGACATTAGCATATGTACGTCGAATCCACGTGGAGTTTCTCAACGCCATTTTCTTTTTTTCAAACGCTTTGATCGGTTGCTTTCCTCGTTCTCTCTCTCTTTTTTTCAGCCTCTCTCTCTCTGTTACTCCCTCTTTTCTTCTTTCTTCACTTTTTTGCATCCTCTTTAATTCCTTTGCCAAAGCTACGTGTTTTTGCATCAAAAGTCTTGCTCTAGGAGATGAAAAAGATTATTACACCCTAGCCATCCAGCCTATTGTTGGCTAGAATTCTCAAAGACATAACATGCTCTCTACAGCATTACACAAAGCGAATCTTTCGCCATAGAACATGCCCTGAGGGCATTTCCATTCTAACTCACGTTTTATAATGGTTCGTGATCTAATTTTTTTAGCTTCCTTCTTTCTTTCTCGCCACATATAATTTAAGATAAGAAGATTGGCTGGAATTTTATTCCCGTATTATCGTCCTATAATTAAATATTTTATACTCAAATTTGGTTGTCTCTTGTTTCTATCCTTCTCTAAATCGTTCTTCCTCTCTTTGTCCTACCTTATATCTTTGTTTATTGATTATCAGTTAACGGAGATGGAGGAAGAACAAAAAATGTTTTCGTATGACTCAAAAGAAGAAAAAATGGATCATGTTGTGTCTAAAGGGGCTCTCCCGAAAGCTATGTCGTTCTTTTTCATCATCATTTTTGTCGTCTTCGTGTCAGAATTCAGTGAACAACTGATGTCTCACTGAAGATGTGAAATCGAAACCGAAAAACACTTCATTTCACCTGAGACAATCGTATTTTGTCCTTTTGCTATCATTATGATCATCATCAATAGATGAAGCAGCTGGCCTGCTCATTTTTATTTCCTTCTCTCTGCCGCTATCTTTACGTTAGATTGGTAGAGGGTGAGGATGAAAACATCAAGAAAGAATGGATGAGAACGTGAAGTTTTGAAGGGATGAGGGATATACGGTGATCAATCAGTCCCAAATGAAAACCTCAGAGATCGTTCGAAGTATTACGTACAGCTTCTCTGCAAAGAAACTTTTTATCTTCTTCCTTGTCTTTTGGCTCGAAAACTTTCTTGAAGTCAATAGGTTAATGTCTGTATTCATATAGTATACACATACATATATGTATATAGTTAGATACATCAGAGTGGATATAAATATGTATAAATATCTTGAAGATTAGCTATCGCAGATGAATAACAAATATCTTTTGGATAGTTATTAAAGGAGATTATTTTATTGTTCCAGGATTTCTTTGTAAAATCCTAAATATCAATTGACGCTTAGAAGCTTCTTCTTCTTCTTTTTCTTCTCTTTCTCATGTCTTGCATTTGAGGAAATATCAACTGAAATTGTAATTCAGTGTTTCTTCCTCTCCTCTTCTTTCAATTTCTTTTGGAAGATTTCCTCTCTCTCCCTACCTCCTTATATGTCAAGATGAAAAAAATAAGAATTTCGGGAATCCATTCTTCAACAGCCTGTTGGAAATAAATGTTCGAAAATAAATTTACTGATTTTGTCCATAATTTGATTTTTGCTATCTTATTCCATTTGTGGACATTGCTTTCTTACCAAACTCAGGTGGAGCAAAGAAAAATCTGATACTTTTTCTTTTCTTTCACATTTCTCTACGTAGAAATTATTTGCTCCAGAAGATCTCAGTTTGCAGGTCAACGACCATTCAGTATTCAGCGTAGGTGTTTCATAAGTAAGCATGGTCAGCTCGATAAGAAATGAGTGAGATTGAAAGAGGGGGAGAACTGATGATTTAATGTTTAAATTATAATTAGTCAGCTAATTTCATATTTCTGCTAGGCATCAACCTTCAATCAGTTTGTATTAGATGATAGAAATGTTTTCTACGATTTTTGAATTTGTGAAAAACATCAAGTAACACATTTCTTTCAACAGAATCTTAGACCAAACATGATATTATCACATTCATTCTGTGTGATCAATTTCGATGAAATTCTTTAAAAAGATAAGGAAAAGTTGTCTCAACCGATAAGTAATTGCAGATGTCTTCTGAAGGTTTTCAGTCAGAACCTCATTCATTTTTTAATTCATTAATTATATATATATATTAATGAAAATATATATAATATAATGAAACCACAGATATAAATATTTCATTCTCTGAGGTTTTTGATCATTTTCCGGAGAAGTTCAGATTTAGAATTCTGTTCCACGCTTGAGTATCGTTTGAGAATCTCAGTAACAATTGTGGCGAGTATTTGACAAAAAAAAGAAAAAAGAAAACATTTCTTTATACAACCTTCAAAAGTTGAACTCATAGTTCCTAACGTTAGAGTAATGCTTTCTCAATTAAAATTATATTTAATTATAATTAATATATATAAATATATATATTTCAATATGTATTCATTTCCTCATTAAATGTTCGAATTAGGCAAGTAGTTTCAAATTTCTCTCAAACTGCCATTTGTTCTTTCTCTTTTTTTTTGTCTTTTTTTCTTTTTTTCTTTATGTTTTTGCTGGATCGTTGATAATCATTGAAAATTAACAATACGTTTCACAAATTGCAGTGTAATCCCTCAAAAGGATCTCTCGTCTTCCTAATTTTTAATAGCTTCGATCTCAACCAGATGGCCGTTCGCGCATGTCTTTTCCCTCTTAGTAGCGAATCCTTTCAACAATATGTTTCTACAGATCGGTAAATAACTCTATTCATTCTACTTTTAGTTTAGCAACTCTTTATCAGTTGAAAAAACAAAAAAAAATTAAAACTGTATCGCTTTATAAGCCAAAATCAAAGTTTACTTCTCATGTTGTGTGGTAAGGATTTGAAATCCAAGTGTTCTTCAGATAAAAGAAAGTGAAAAGAAAGTGATGACTTTCGCTTTTCTTCTCTTTTCTTTTCTTTTCAATATTTTTCGCGACAGAACCATTTATAGCCAATGTCACCTATCATGTGGATTACTGTATGAACAATAAAATAATCACATGAGGCAAAATATTAGGAGAGAAAAGGAATCAAATTGGAGAAAGAGGGAGAAAAAACGAGAGTAAGAGAGTAGAAGAAAGAGAGTTCAATGTTCGCCAAAAAACGTAACAAACAGTATGGTTTTGGAAGAGAAATAATTGCATATTCGACTTGCTTTGCTTCTATTGATAATAGTTGAAGAACAATAAGATATAATATTTTACTTTAAAACAAATTACATAAGTAGTTGAGACGTCTTTTTGTGATGAAGTAAGAAATATCAAGCATGATGAGACAAACGAAGCATCAGGAGGTATACGAGGAGAAGGAGGAGAAGGGTAAAGGGGAGGAGGGGACATGAAGAAGGCGACGGCATGTCGCGCCTCGTCTAGTTCAATCACGTGTGTTTGTACTTAAAAGACGAGCCCAGATGAACAAAGCAGTTCTTGACTTTTCTTTTCGTCTCCATCGTATCTTTATTTCGTCTATTCCGTCTGTCCTCATCACGTTTATTGCTGTGTCAGCAGCTTTAGCTAGGCTTGTCTCATCATCAAGCTTGCTGATCTCAAGTGGAAAAAAAAAGTTGTTGTACAACAGACTTTTATAGTCTTGTCCCACATAAACGTATACACCCAGACTACTTTCACATAAGCTCATACGTAGCTCATCTGCTGTTCCTCTACTTCTCCTCCTTCTTACTCTGGTTTTTGGATATTTCTAAAAGAATATTCAAATCCTTCCTACATATTCAAGTTGATTCCATCTAAGAGAGAACACAGAGATCAAGAGAATCTCTTAAAAATGGCTTTAATACGTCGTGCTCGTTACGAGACGTGCTATTCACCTGTATGCTCAGCTCCCTCAACTCCAGCATATTGGAGCCCATCTGCATCTAAACATTATAATTCACGAACAAATCATTGGAATTCTCGATCTTTCAGCACATCATCCAACAACAATGGTACATCTCCAGCATTAGTTGCAATTGATTCCAAAATTGAACAAGCTATGGTAAGATTTGATGATACTTTCAATCTCATCTAAGTCATTCTTCAGGACCTGGTCAAAACTCATCTAATGTTTGCTGTACGAGAAGAAGTTGAAGTTTTAAGGAGCAAAATTGTTGATTTGGAAACTCATGTAAGTTTTTTTATATTTTATTTGAAAATTTCTCTTTTCCTGCCTCTTCGATCACGAACGAATTATTTTATCTCTCAAGTTGTCTTATCAGTTTCCTATCTGATTGAGTTGATTTCTTCATGTTCTAAAACAGAAAAACAAGTTCATGACTGGAGCTCCCAAAATTTTATTGTTATCACTCAAGTTAAATATTCTTTTCATGAGCTTCTCGTAGGAAATAAAAACAGGAAGAAATATTTCTTCTATACAACATATAAGGTCAACTATTACGGTATTTCCTAAGTTTTTACTTGAGAAACAAGTTCATTTTGAGTATTTGATTTTACGTTCTGGCAGCAGCAGCAGCACACACATACACACAAAAGTTTTTTTTTTGTCAAATTTCCAAATGACCGTTCTCACTCTCAAGTCCTTTCTTCTTCAGTTCTTACTCAACAAGCTACTTCTCGTTCTCTTCATCTCTATTTCCTTAACTATCTCTTTCTTAGTGTCTCCTGATTGTGATACAGTTCAGCCGACCCTATTCATACATTGACATCATTTTTCTCACGCCAAACAACAAAAAAAAGTTTTATTTTTAGAAAATGTTTAAAATAAACTTTTTTGAAGTGAAAAAGTTCAAAAAAGTATAATAAAAGAAGTTCTTTTACAATCACATCATCATCATCATTCATTCATTGATAGTAATCACGAGGGTGATAAACAATTGATATGACAAAATAAAAACTTCCAATCTATTACTATCTATTTTCATTCGTGAAAGATCAAAATTTTAACTTGTTCAACCTGAAACCATGCTTATTACCTTATTAATTACAGATTCATCATTTGGAGACAGAAAATTCAATTCTTAAAGATCACATTCCGGACGATTTACTGAAGAACTTGAATTTGGGCAAGAAGTGAATGATCATAAGCAACTTGAGAACGGATATCAAGACAACATTAACAAGATAAAACTTGTTAAAAAAATTGAAAGTTTTTTCATATAGTTTCTCTCTGTTCTCGGTTTCTATCAAGACTCACAGTTATCTACTTGTCCTTTCAACTCATTTTCTTTAATCACTTCCTTGTTTGTTAACTATGAATTGGTAGTTAACGATTGATTTTCGAAACCCCTATCCATCCTCTTACTCCCACTCGTTCTGTCCCTCTTCATTTCACTCTTTCTTCCAGTTCTTGTACAAAACCCATGCATAGCGGGCTTATCTAGGAAGAGGTTCAAAGCCTACTTCGCCTCAATTCAACCAATTATATATATATATAATTGTTTTATTCATATATAGAGTACAGTCATTTCCATACATTTACTTTGATTAGACAGGTCTATTCATTACGATTTTCTATTCGTGTAAAACATCCCGTGTGTTTGGTTGATTAATACCTCTTCTGATACATTTGATAAGATGAGCATCTGTATAAAATTCTTTGAATCTAAGCTCATGCACACAGACTATACTGGAAGTTTTGTTTGTTTCTCTCAAACATTTCCTTATCTGCCAAAAAAAGCATGTTTTCATCAACATTTATAATTGTATAATATATATTTTGAAGAAACAAACATACTTTCTTCATATTATGTGTCTCATAAGCTGTGTGTTACATGTCTCCTGAGCGGTGAACTTTGATTTTTCTGTTCCCTTAACTTGTATGTGATGAGTTGGAACAAACGGAAAAATTTAGTTTTTTTTACATTGTTTTCATTCTGTTTTCACTTTTTTTAGTTTTGATTTATATTATACATAGTTGTACATACTTTTTTTTTTACAAATTTTATGCGAAAATGAGAAAAATAATAAACGTTTCTTTATTTGGGAACTCGTTCTTCTTACAGTCAACTCAGTACAAAGGTTTTAATTCAACGAATGAAGCTTTTCATTCAATAGATGGATATTTAAAGAGAAATCTGTTCTCACCAAAAAAAAAATTGAAAACTACAGTACAAATCAACGTCTTACTACATATAGGATTGATGTAGTTTAAGGCTCCTGCATGTTTGAGATCAACTTTGATCTACCCTCAAACGCCTGTTACGATCAACAGAGAAAAACATTTTTCGCGTCATATATGTTTTGTATTCAAAAAAGATTTGAAAATGTCATAAAAGAAATGAAAGAGTAAAAGCAAAATTTGCTTCCGAAATTATTTCATATTAATTTCCTTTTTCATCTATTCTAGTTTATAAATATCGAATTTACGTAGGTAAAGCTTTTTAATGAGAAATCGAAAAGGAAATCATGAGGTGGATCAAAAGGAAATGAACATTTACGGTAAAGTGAAAACACATGAAGAATATTCCAAACTTCAAAACTCTTTTTCGGCTAACACATTTTTCTGTATAAGCAGAGCTTGAGTTTTAGTTTAGCATTCTTCTATCATTTTTCTATATGATTTAAATTCACTCTTTCTTAGGTCATTCTCATGCTGGGGAAGCTTTGTTTTATTTTTCTTTGTCTGCTAAGTTGTGTTGATGCTTTCAAAGTTGCATATGTTGGTCGTGTGTCATGTGAATATGAGGAGCAATGTGCAGCAGATGCTTATCTGGCTCAATGTTTCTACGAAGGTATAGTTCTCCTTCCGGAAGAACAGAGCTGAGACAGACTTGAATAGGTTTGATTGATGCTGGAGTTAATGCTAATGGAATGATTCCAAACAAAAACATTTCTTTTGTTTTTCTGGATCCATATGATATCCTAAAGAATACGACAGCCGTTTCTTCTGGCAATTTTGGCGTTGTCAATTCAGGACAAAGCACAAAGTACTATTTTTTTTCAAAACAAATACAGTCAATAATTTGCTTCCCTTCCTCAGTTCGTTTAGAACTGCTTTGCGCGTGTTACTAGATGAAACTGCTGCTGATCCATTGATAAGTTTAGTTGGCTATGCTGAAGACTGTCGAGCTGTGGCTACTTTAGCTGATACATACGATAAAGCAGCAGTAATCAATGTATTCTCTTTCAGCTAGTGCAGTTCATAATATATACATAATATTTCAGGCTTGTAGCGAACCGATCGGAGAATCTGTTATTCCTTTGCAACGAACTATTCACTTTGATAGATCTCTCGGGTACGTTGCTACAACTCCGAATTTACCAAATAATCTTGAATAATATATTAAGAATGCTCTACCGTGCTGTTGCTCATTTTCTTCAACACAATAATATAAAATACGTTCATGTTGTTAACATGGTTCAAAGTACTTATGATATGTATCCTTCTCTACTTCTGGATGCATTAGGCTCTTATAACATTCAAGTAACGCGACTGCCTAGTTAGTACAATTCTCATTTGTATTTGAAAGGTCGGAAGTTATGAGAAGAATATATTTGCATATAACAGCGCATATTTTCCATTTGAAAGTGCTATCCAGTATGTTTTATCAACATATCTCCGTACAAGAAGTTACAAAAATAATTTGGAAATGTTTAAAAAAATTTCTTCAAGTTTATGTGTGCATGGGACATTTCGATACACTTGCATTGGCTTATGGACTGGATAAACTGGGATTATTGGAATCTGGAAAATATCTCATCATTAATGTTAACCATTTTGAGTTTCAAGACGATCTATCTTCTAGATGGACAACGGCACGAAGTTGCGGACTCTAATCAACTCGAGTAATGTAATGCAATTTCAGGAGAAAGGTTCACTCTTTCCATTAATCAAATGGCATGGCTCAACCGACATGTTATGTATTTCACATATTCTCCATACTGGCCTGCTCTATCAGGTAAATCAAGCTTCATTATTGAAAATGAAGATGAATGGTCACCAACAGTAGATCTTTTTTTTCAGATAACCAAGATTTCCTTAATCTACAACAACGGTTGACTAATAGCTTCAAAAAACCATTGTGCCCACCATTCTGCAATCGTGATAATACTAAAATGTCCAATATTACATTGGTCATACAACAAATAGTCCCAGAAAAAAACTTCGAGTTTTGCAGGGTTCTTATTTACGATACGATCAATGGATAACTGCTTATGATTCTGGAAAACTTTTAGGCGAAACACTACAGAGTATGACAGCAACTAACAATGCGTCAGAGATAATTGACAGCATGAGACAAAAAAGTTATCGGAGTAGGCTTCTTGTTCAAATACCAATTCACCTATTACCTCAGGCTTGATGAACTACGACACATTTTTCGATGAAGCCGGAATATCTCAAAAACAGATTAGTATTTGGGGTTACTTGGAGAGCGGAACAGATGTTACATTCAATAACTTCATGTTAAAAATTGGACAGATGACCCCACTCAAGAACGGATCATTTGTAAGAAAACAAACTTGATATAATGCTTATGTTTCGCAGGATATTGTGCTCAATATGAATGAGTCACATATTTACTTGAAAGAAATGCCAAAAGATAGACCAGAATGTGGCTTTAATAACGAGAATTGCATGAGACAGAGTAAGAACTATTCTTAATCTGAATTGAACACTGTTTCAGGTGGCTTGGGAACAACGGAGATCATAGTCATTGTCATCAGTTCTATTTTGGCTCTCGGAATGTTAGGATTTATGGGATATATTGTGAAGTAAGTGGAAAGTCAGAGTCACGAAAAAATTAACTTGCACATTGACAAAGTTAGGTATGCAGTGAAAACAACGGTAACACAGAGGCTGCACATTCTGTCGAACCATTACTCAAATTAATTCTTGAGCGATGAAACTGCTTCGGAACCATAATAGACCCCAATGAATTTCTAATCAAGGAAAAGCGATTGAAAAAGTTCAAAAACACCCTCAGGCGCCCGATATTGTTAAAATCTTAATGAGAGGCACCAAGCAAGAAGTGGGAGAGGATGGAACCGATGTCATCCGCAGGAGAACGTGAAACCAAGAAAAAGCTGTGAAAACCCCTCAGGCGCCCCAGAAGGTTAAAATCAGTATGAGAGGCAGCAGGGGCGTGGAAGAGGGTAAAATTAATGTCATCCGCAGGATTCGAACCTGCGCCCTCCGGAGAGGACTGCGACCTGAACGCAGCGCCTTAGACCACTCGGCCAGAATGACTTGAAATCGCTAATTTTCTGCACATTTCTCGGTGGGGCCCCCAATCAAACTAATCTCTAAGAGGAAAAGTTGTTTTTAAACCATAATAGAGCTCATTACCGAGTGTTTTGATAAAGTTGTCGGTCACTCCAGCAACGTAATAGCCATTCGTCTATTGAAATGAACTTGACACCTAGAAAAAGCTGTAAAAAAAGATCAAAGACGCCCTCAGGCGCCCCAGAAGGTTGAAATGATAATGAGGGGCAGCAGGG